AAACAGTGTCCCAGGTAACATCAACTTATAAGTTGCCCAGAAAACGAACCTACTAGAATGAGGGGAATGAAGACAGACACTGTACAAATAATCGGAGCTTTGGGCTTTGCAAAAGAAAAGAACAACTTTATAACAGTGTCCCAGGTAACATCAGCTTATAAGTTGCCCAGAAAAAACGAACCTACTAGGAATGAGGGGAAATTTCACTGAACCCTAAAAATAATCAACTTTTTTTAACATCTTTTGCCCAGAAAACGAAAAGATTGATGAACTTCTTTCCTTTTTCAGAAGAAAACTTTTCTAAAATCAACATCAACATAAAATTGCCCAGAAAACGAACCTACTAGGAATGAAGGAATTAAGACAGACACTGTACCAGTTCATAATCAAAGGAATGGGATTTGTTTAAAAGAAATGAACAACTTTACTAACAGTGTCCCAGGTAACATCATCTTATAAAATGCCCAGAAAAACGAACCTACTAGGAATGAGGGGAATGAAGACAGACACTGTACCAGATGTAATCGGAGACTTGGGCTTTTTAGAAAAAAGAAATGAACAACTTTACTAACAGTGTCCCAGGTAACATCAAAAAAGGATAAGTTGGGGTCTTTGAAAACAAACCTACTAGGAATGATTTTCTGAAGACAGACACTGTACCAGTAATAATCAGACTTTGAAACTTTGTGAGAAAAGAAATGAACAACTTTACTAACAGTTTCCCAGAAACATCAAAGAAAGTTGCCCAGAAAACGAAAAAAAGGAAAAGGGAATGAAGAAGACACTGTACCAGTAATAATCATCCTTTTAAAAAGAGAGAAAAGAAATGAACAACTTTACTAACAGTGTCCCAGATTAACATCAGAAAATAAGTTGCAAAAGAAAACGAAAAAACTAGGAATGAGGGAAAAATGAAACAGACACTGTAAACATAATCAGAATTTGAAAGAAAATGAACAACTTTACTAACAGTGTCCCAGGTAACATCAGTAAGTTGCCCAGAAAACGAACCTACTAGAATGAGGGAATGAAGACAGACACTGTACCAGTAATAATCAGAATTTGGGCTTTGCAGAAAAGAAAAACAACTTTAAATGTCCCAAACATCAACATACAAGTTTTGAAAACAACCTACTAAAAAGAAAAGACAGACACTGTACCAAATAATCAGACACTGCAACTTTACTAACAGTGTGCCATCAGAAAATTGCCCAGAAAACGAACCTACTAGAATGAGGGGAATGAAGAACAATCGACACTGTAAAAATTAATCGGATTGCGGGCTTTGTGAGAAAAAAATGAACGAGAACCTTTTTGAACTTTAAAACAGTGTCCCAGGTTTGAATCAACATAGAAGTTGCCTTTAAAACATACTACTAGGAATGAACAATTTTTAGACAAATAGTTCTTTTAATCAAACTTTGGGCTTTGGAGAAAAGAAATGAACAACTTTACTAACAGTGTATACATTCCCAGGTAACATCAGAATAAGTTGCCCAGAAAACACACCTACTAGGAATGAGGGAGAATGAAGATAACATACAAGTGTTTCAGTAATAATCATTTTGGGCTTTGTGAGAAAAGAAATGAACAACTTTTACTAACAGTGTCCCAGGTAACATCAACACTTACTTGCCCAGAAAACGAACCTAAAGGAATAAGGAATGAAGACAGACATATAACCAGTAATAATCGGAAAAATTGAATGAAAAAGAAATGAAAAACTTTACTAACAGAGGGTAACATCAACATGTAAAATGACCAGAAAACGAACCTACTAGAATGGGGGAATGATAGACACTGTAAGTAATCGAATTTAGTTTGATTTTGTTAGAATGAACAACTTGTCTAACAGTGTCCCAGGTAACATCAACATATAAAATATATTGGGAAAATTGAAAAATGAAAAGATTTATATAAATAGAAATGATTTAACATCAGAATGAAGAAAGACACTGTACCAGTAATAATCAGAGCTTTGGGCTTTGTGAGAAAAGCAATGAACAACTTTACTAACAGTGTCCCATTTAACATCAGAAATAAGTTTTGAAAAAAACGAAACTACTAGGAATGAGGGGAATGAAGAAAGACAAGTAAAGTAATAATCGGACTTTGGGAAAAAAGAGAAAAGAAATGAACAACTTTACTAAAGTGTCCCAGGTAACATCAGCTTAAAAGTTGCCCAGAAAACGAACCTATTAGGAATTTCTTTAAAGAAGACAGACACTGTAAAAGTTATAATCATGATTGATTTTGGATCTTTGTTGAAAAAATGGAATGAGGGAAAGAACAGAAATTAAAAATAATCAGTTTGTCCCAAAACATCAGTTATAAGTTTCTGAAAACGAACCTACTAGGAATGAGGGGGAAAACAGAGAAAGAAACTTGTACCAGTAATAATCAAAATTTTATTATTTGTGAGAAAAGAAATGAAAAACTAAAAGTGTCCCAGGTAACAGTGTCCCAACCTACGAAATGAAAAACCATAAATCAAGTTTTGGGCTTTGAAAAAAATGAAACAGTGTCCTACTCAGCAACAAGTTGCCCAGAAAAAGAACCTACTATGAAAACAACATTGTACCAGTAATAATCAGATTTGGGCTTTTGAGAAAAGAAATGAACAACTTTACTAAAAACATGTCCCAGGTTTTTTCAACTAAGAAAACCCAGAAAATATAACCTAAAGAGAAAATAAAAATGAAAAAACTGTACCAAAGGAATCGAAGCTTTGGGCTTTGTGAAAAGAGAAAAGCTTTTAATGTCCCAGGTATTTAAAAGTTGCCCAGAAAAATGAGAAAAGAATGAGGAAAAAGACACTGTAAAGTAATAATCGGAAAAGAGAAAAGAAAAAATGAACAACTTTACTAAAAAACCCAAAATCAGAAAAGAGTTTGCTTGAAAACGAACCTACTACATTCGCGAGGGAATGAAGAAGACAAAAGAAAATAATCAGACTTTGGGCTTTGAGAAAAATGAACAACTTTACTAACAGTGTCCCAGGTAACATCAACATACATGAGAAAAAAAACGAACCTAATTCCAATGAGGGAAATGAAGACAACAGAGTAAGAAATAAAAAGAGCTTTGGGCTTTGAGAAAAAAGAAAAGAAATGAAAAAGATTACTAACAGTGTCAAACGAGGTAAAATCAAAAAGAAAAAACCCAAAAACGAACCTACTAAAAATAGGGGAAAAAGACAAACACTGTACCAAAAATAATCGGAAACAAGGGAAAAGAAAAAAAAAAATGAACAAGTCCCAGGTAACAAAAGTGTCCCAAAGATAAAGAAAAACCTAAAGAATGAAAAAAACAGACAACCTAAAAAGAGGAATGATTTGTGATGAAGACAGACACTGTACCAAGTAATAATCAGACTTTGGGAAAAGAGAAAAGAAATGAACAAGACTTTACTAACAGTGTCCCAGGTAACATCAACATAAAGTTGAAAAGAAAACGAAAAGACTAGGAATGAACCTACTAGAATGAGAAAAAGACACTGTACCAGTAATAATCGGACTTTGGGCTTTGTGAGAAAAGAAATGAACAACTTTACTAACAGTGTCCCAGGTAACATCAACATAGTTGCCAGAAAACGAACCTACTAGGAATGAGAAAAGAGAAATGAAATAATCAGACTTTTGGGCTTTGTGAGAAAAAGAATGACAATTTACTAAACCCAGGTAACATCAACTTAAAGAGAAAACGAACCTACTAGGAATGAAAACTGTACCAGTAATAATCAGAAAAGAGGCTTTGTGAGAAAAAAATGAACAAAAACTAACAGTGTCCCAGGTAACATCAAAATAAGTTGCCCAGAAAACGAACCTACTAGGAATGAGGGAATGAAGACAGACACTGTACCAAAATAATCAGAAAAGGGCTTTGTGAGAAAAGAAATGAACAAACATATAACAGTGTCCCAGAAACATCAAAATAAGTTGCCCAGAAAAGAAAATGCACTAAAATGAGGGGAATGAAAATGACAGACAAAACCAAAAATCGGAGGGAAAAAGAAATGAACAACTTTACTAACAGTGTCCCAGGTAACATCAACTTATAAGTTGCCCAGAAAACGAAAAAATGAAATGAAGAAAGACACTGTACCAGAATAATCAGAAAGAAAAAGTGAGAAAAAGAAAATGAACAAAATTACTAACAGTGTCCCAGGTAACATCAAAAAAAGTTGCCCAAAAACGAAAAATACTAGGAATGGAGGGAATGAAGACAGACACTGTACCAGTAATAATCAGAAATTTGGAAAATATGAGAAATGAAGACTTTACTAACAGTGTCCCAAAATCAAATTGAAAAAAAGAGAAAAGAGGGGAATGAAAAAGGTAACAACAAATGAGAAAAAAATGAAAAGAAAACAGTGTCCTACTATCAATGAGGGAAAAAAGAAAGAAAAGAAAGAAAAGAGTAATAATCAGACTTTGGGCTTTGTGAGAAAAGAAAAATGAACAACTTTACTAAAGAGTGTCCCAGGTAACATCAAAGAAAGTTGCCCAGAAAAACGAACCTACTAGGAATGAGGGGAATGAAGAAAGACAAATACCAGTAAAAATCAAGAAAAAGGGCTTTGTGAGAAAAGAAATGAACAACTTTACTAACAGTGTCCCAGGTAACATCAGCATAAAGTTGAAAACCCAGAAAACGAACCTACTAGGAATGAAATGAAAAGAGAACACTGTACCAGTAATAATCGGAAAAGAGGAAAAAAAAAATGAACAAATTTACTAACAGTGAAAAGAGGTAACAAAGAAAAAGTTGCCCAAAAACGAACCTAAGAAATGAGGGAATGAAGACAGACAAAGTAATAATCAGATTGGAAAAGAGAAAAGAAATGAAAAAAATAACAGTGTCCCAGGTAACATCAAGAAAAAGTTGCCCAAGAAAACGAAACTAGGAATGAATGAGAAAAGACACTGTAAAGTAATAAAGACTTTGGAGAAAAAGAGAAAAAAATGAAAAACTTTAAACAACAGTGTCCCAGAGTAACATCAACAGAAAAGAAATGAAAAAACGAACCTACTAGAAAGAGGGGAATAGAAGAAAGACAAGGACCAGTAATAATCGGAAAAATTTGGGCTTTGTGAGAGAAAGAAACAGTGAAAAGCTTTAAAACAAAAAAGAAAAAAACAAGAAAGAAGAAAAAGAAATAAAGGAGAAAAGAGAAAAAATGAAAACTTTACAAGGAACATCAGAGAGAAAACGAAAGAAATAGACAAAAAGAAAAGTAATAATCGGAAAGGGCTTTGGAGAAAAAGAAATGAACAACTTTACTAACAGTGTCCCAAAAACATCAACAAAAAAAAAAAAAGAAAAAAACCTACTAGGAATGAGGGGAATGAAGACAGACACACTGTACCAGTAATAATCAGACTTTGGGCTTTGTGAGAAAAGAAATGAACAAACTAACAGTGTCCCAGGTAACATCAAAGAAAGTTGAGAAAACGAACCTACTAGGAATGAGGGAATGAAGACAGACACTGTAACAGTAATAATCGGAGCTTTGGGCTTTGTGAGAAAAAAAAATGAACAACTTTACTAACAGTGTCCCAAACATCAAACATACAAGAAAGAAAAATGAACCTACTAGGAATAGGGGAATGAAGACAGACACTGTACCAGTAATAATCGGAAATTTGGGCTTTGTGAGAGAAAAAAGAACAACTTTAAACAGTGTCCCAGGTAACATCAGCTTATAAGAGAAAAGAAAACGAAAAAGACTAGGAATGAGAGGGAATGAAGACAGACACTGTACCAAATGGATCGGATTTTGGAACACTTTGTGGAAAAAAGAATGAAAAACTTTACTAACAGTGTCCCAGGTAACATCAAATAAAGTTGAAGAAAACGAACCTACTAGGAATGAGGGGAATGAGAGACAGAAACTGTAAAAGTAATAATCAAGAAAAAGAGAAAAGAAATGAAAAACTTTAAATACAGTGTCCCAGGTAACATCAACATAAAAAACGAACCTACTAGGAATGAAAATGAAGGACTAGGAATGAGAAATCGAGAAAAAATAAAAAGAAATGAACAATGTACCAGTGTCCCAAAACAAAGAGCTTTGGGCTTTACTAGGAAAAAGAAAATGAACAACACTGTACCAGAATAAAAGGGCTAAAAGAAAAATAACAAGTTTATAACAAGAAAACGAACCTAGAAAGAAAATGAGGAATGGGGGAATGAAGACAGACACTGTACCAGTAATAATCAGACTTTGGGCTTTGTGAGAAAAAAAAAGAACAACTTTACTAACAGTGTCCCAGGTAACATCAACATAAGTTGCCCAGAAAACGAACCTAAGGAAAAGGGGAATGAAGACAGACACTGTACCAGTAAAATCAGACTTTGGGCTTTGAGAAAAAAAATGAAAACTTTACTAACAGTGTCCCAAAACATCAAATAAGTTGCCCAGAAAAAAAGAACCTACTAGGAATGAGGGAATGAAGACAGACACTGTACCAGTAATAATCAGAGCTTTGGGCTTTGTGAGAAAAGAAATGAACAACTTTAAACAAATTTACTAACAGTCCCAGGTAACATCAACATAAAAGTTGCCCAGAAAACGAACCTACTAGGAATGAGGGGAATGAAGACAGACACTGTACCAGTAATAATCGGAGAAGAAATTTGTGAGAAAAGAAATGAACAACTTTACTAACAGTGTCCCAGGTAACATCAACATAAAGTTGCCCAAAAACGAAAAAAGAAATGAGGGGAATGAAACAAAAGACCAGTAATAGGAATGGGGTGAAAATGAAATGAACAACTTTACTAACAGTGTCCCAGGTAACATCAAAAAAAGTAAAAATCTAGGAATGAAGATTTGGGACACTGTACCAGTAATAATCGGAAAAAAGAAATGAACAACTTTACTAACAGTGTCCCCAGGTAACATCAAATAAAAGTTGCCCAGAAAACGAACCTACTAGGAATGAGGGGAATGAAGACAGACACTGTACCAAGAATAATCAGAGCTTTGGGCTTTGTGAGAAAAGAAATGAAAACTTTACTAACAGTGTCCCAGAACAAATAAGTTGCCCAGAAAACCCCTACTAGAATGAGGGAATGAAGAAGACATCCAAATAATCAAAGAACAAAACATCAAATAAGTTGCCCAAAGAAAAGGGAATGAAGACAGACACTGTACCAGTAATAATCGGAAAAGTGGAAAAGAAATGAACAACTTTACTAACAGTGTCCCAGGTAACATCAACATACAAGTTGCCCAGAAAACGAACCTACTAGGAATGAAATGAAGACAGACACTGTACCAGTAATAATCGGAGCTTTGGGCTTTGTGGAAAAAGAAATGAACAACTTTACTAACAGTGTCCCAGGTAACATCAAAATATAAGTTGCCCAGAAAACGAACCTACTAGGAATGAGGGGAATGAAGACAGACACTGTACCAATGAATAATCGGAGCTTTGGGCTTTGTGAGAAAAGAAATGAACAACTTTACTAACAGTGTCCCAGGTAACATCAGAGAATAAGTTGCCCAGAAATGAAAAAAAACTGAGGAATGAGGGAAAAAGAAAGACACTGTACCAGTAATAATCAACAAAAGTTGCTTTGGGCCTAAAGGAATGTGAGAAAAGAAAATGAACAACTTTACTAACAGTGTCCCAAACACAAACATCAACATATAAGTTGCCCAGAAAACGAACCTACTAGGAATGAGGGAATGAAGACAGACACTGTACCAGTAATAATCGGAGCTTTGGGCTTTGTGAGAAAAGAAATGAACAACTTTACTAACAGTGTCCCAGGTAACATCAACATACAAGTTGCCCAGAAAACGAACCTACTAGGAATGAAACACAATGAAGACAGACACTGTACCAGTAATAATCAGACTTTGGGCTTTGTGAGAAAAGAAATGAACAACTTTACTAACAGTGTCCCAGGTAACATCAACATATAAGTTGCCCAGAAAACGAACCTACTAGGAATGAGGGGAATGAAGACAGACACTGTACCAAATAATCAGACTTTGGGCTTTGTGAGAAAAAAATGAACAACTTTACTAACAGTGTCCCAGGTAACATCAACTTATAAGTTGCCCAGAAAACGAACCTACTAGGAATGAAAAATGAAGACAGACACTGTACCAGTAATAATCAGACTTTGGGCTTTGTGAGAAAAGAAATGAACAACTTTACTAACAGTGTCCCAGGTAACATCAGCTTAAAGTTGCCCAGAAAACGAACCTACTAGGAATGAGGGGAAAAAGAGAAGACAGACACTGTACCAGTAATAATCGGAGCTTTGGGCTTTGTGAGAAAAAAATGAACAACTTTACTAACAGTGTCCCAGGTAACATCAACATAAAAGAAAACGAACCTACTAGAATGAGGGGAATGAAGACAGACACTGAAGTAATAATCAGACTTTAAATAAGAAATGAGACTCCCAGGTAACATCAACATTTTGCCCAGAAAACGAACCTACTAGGAATGAGGGAATGAAGACAGACACTGTACCAGTAATAATCAACTTTGGGCTTGAGAAAAGAAATGAACAACTTTAAAACAGTGTCCCAGGTAACATCAATGAAGGAATGAAACAACCTACTGGAATGAAAAGACAGACACTAATAATCGGAGCTTTGGGCTTTGTGAGAAAAAGAAATGAACAACTTTACTAACAGTGTCCCAGGTAACATCAAAATAAGTTGCCCAGAAAACGAACCTACTAGGAATGAGGGGAATGAAGACAGACACTGTACCAGTAATAATCAGACTTTGGGCTTTGTGAGAAAAGAAATGAACAACTTTACTAACAGTGTCCCAGGTAACATCAACATATAAGTTGCCCAGAAAACGAACCTACTAGGAATGAGGGAATGAAGACAGACACTGTACCAGTAATAATCGGAGCTTTGGGCTTTGTGAGAAAAGAAATGAACAACTTTACTAACAGTGTCCCAGGTAACATCAACTTATAAGTTGCCCAGAAAACGAACCTACTAGGAATGAGGGGAATGAAGACAGACACTGTACCAGTAATAATCGGACTTTGGGCTTTGTGAGAAAAGAAATGAACAACTTTACTAACAGTGTCCCAGGTAACATCAACAACATAAAGTTGCCCAGAAAACGAACCTACTAGGAATGAGGGAATGAGGACAGACACTGTACCAGAATAATCGGAGACACTTTACCAACTTTACTAACAGTGTCCCAAACATCAACAAAGTTGCCCAGAAAACGAACCTACTAGGAATGAGAAGACTTTGGGTACCAGTAATAAAAAGAAAATGAAAAAAGAAATTTACAAAACAGTGTCCCAGGTAACATCAACATATAAGTTGCCCAGAAAACGAACCTACTAGGAATGAGGGGAATGAAGACAGACACTGTACCAGTAATAATCGGAGAAATTGGGCTTTGTGAGAAAAAGAAATGAACAACTTTACTAACAGTGTCCCAGGTAACATCAACTTATAAAGTTGCCCAGAAAACGAACCTACTAGGAATGAGGGGAATGAAGACAGACACTGTACCAGTAATAATCGGAGCTTTGGGCTTTGTGAGAAAAGAAATGAACAACTTTACTAACAGTGTCCCAGGTAACATCAACATATAAGTTGCCCAAAAACGAACCTACTAGGAAAATGAGGGGAATGAAGACAGACACTGTACCAGTAATAATCGGAGCTTTGGGCTTTGTGAGAAAAGAAATGAACAACTTTACTAACAGTGTCCCAGGTAACATCAACATTATAAGTTGCCCAGAAAACGAACCTACTAGGAATGAGGGGAATGAAGACAGACACTGTACCAGTAATAATCGGAGCTTTGGGCTTTGTGAGAAAAGAAATGAACAACTTTACTAACAGTGTCCCAGGTAACATCAACTTATAAGTTGCCCAGAAAACGAACCTACTAGGAATGAGGGGAATGAAGACAGACACTGTACCAGTAATAATCGGAGCTTTGGGCTTTGTGAGAAAAGAAATGAACAACTTTACTAACAGTGTCCCAGGTAACATCAAAAGTTGCCCAGAAAACGAACCTACTAAGGAATTGAAGACAGACACTGTAGAAAATCGAACCAACTTTACTAACAGTGAATGAGGGAACCTACTAGAATGAAGACAGACACTGTACCAGTAATAATCGGAGCTTTGGGCTTTGTGAGAAAAGAAATGAACAACTTTACTAACAGTGTCCCAGGTAACATCAAAGATAAGTTGCCCAGAAAACGAAACTACTAGGAATGAGGGGGAATGAAGACAGACACTGTACCAGTAATAATCAGAAAGTGGGCTTTGTGAGAAAAAAATGAAAACTTTACTAACAGTGTCCCAGGTAACATCAGTGTCCCGAGGGAATAACATCAGACACTGTACCAGTAATAATCGGAAGGCTTTGTGAAAAAATGAACAACTTTACTAACAGTGTCCCAGGTAACATCAACATAAAGTTGCCCAGAAAAACGAACCTACTGGAAATGGGAATGAAGACAGACACTGTACCAATAATCGGAGCTTTGGGCTTTGTGGAAAAGAAATGAACAACTTTACTAACAGTGTCCCAGGTAACATCAACTTATAAGTTGCCCAGAAAACGAACCTACTAGGAATGAGGGGAATGAAGACAGACACTGTACCAGTAATAATCGGAGCTTTGGGCTTTGTGAAAAAATGAAAACTTTACTAACACCCAGGTAACTTACAAACAGTGTCCCAGGTAACAATCAGCTTATAAGTTTTACTAACAGTGTCCCAGGTAAAACGAACCTAAAACGAACCTAGGAATGAGGGGAATGAAGACAGACACTGTACCAGTAATAATCGGAGCTTTGGGCTTTGTGAGAAAGAAATGAACAACTTTACTAACAGTGTCCCAGGTAACATCAGCTTATAAGTTGCCCAGAAAACGAACCTACTAGGAATGAGGGAATGAAGACAGACACTGTACCAGTAATAACGGAGCTTTGGGCTTTGTGAGAAAAGAAATGAACAACTTTACTAACAGTGTCCCAGGTAACATCAAGAAAAGTTGCCCAGAAAACAACCTACTAGGAATGAGGGAATGAAGACAGACACTGTACCAGTAATAATCGGAGCTTTGGGCTTTGTGAGAAAAGAAATGAACAACTTTACACAGTGTCCCAGGTAACATCAACTTATAAGTTGCCCAGAAAACAGAACCTACTAGGAATGAGGGGAATGAAGACAGACACTGTACCAGTAATAATCGGAGCTTTGGGCTTTGTGAAAAAAAGAAATGAACAACTTTACTAACAGTGTCCCAGGTAACATCAACTTATAAGTTGCCCAGAAAACGAACCTACTAGGAATGAGGGGAATGAAGACAGACACTGTACCAGTAATAATCGGAGCTTTGGGCTTTGTGAGAAAAGAAATGAACAACTTTACTAACAGTGTCCCAGGTAACATCAACTTATAAGTTGCCCAGAAAACGAACCTACTAGGAATGAGGGAATGAAGACAGACACTGTACCAGTAATAATCGGAGCTTTGGAAACACATGAGAAAAGAAAATGAACAACTTTACTAACAGTGTCCCAGGTAACATCAACATACAAGTTGCCCAGAAAACGAACCTACTAGGAATGAGGGGAATGAAGACAGACACTGTACCAGTAATAATCGGAGCTTTGGGCTTTGTGAGAAAAGAAAATGAACAACTTTACTAACAGTGTCCCAGGTAACATCAACTTATAAGTTGCCCAGAAAACGAACCTACTAGGAATGAGGGGAATGAAGACAGACACTGTACCAACAGTAATAATCAGACTTTGGAAAAACCTGAGAAAAGAAATGAACAACTTTACTAACAGTGTCCCAGGTAACATCAACATCAACATAAGTTGCCCAGAAAACGAACCTACTAGGAATGAGGGAATGAAGACAGACACTGTACCAGTAATAATCGGAGCTTTGGGCTTTGTGAGAAAAGAAATGAACAACTTTACTAACAGTGTCCCAGGTAACATCAAATAAAGTTGCCCAGAAAACAGAACCTACTAGGAATGAATGAAGACAGACACTGTACCAGTAATAATCAGAAATTGGGCTTTGTGAGAAAAGAAATGAACAACTTTAACAACAGTGTCCCCAGGTAACATCAACTTATAAGTTGCCCAGAAAACAAACCTACTAGGAATGAGGGGGAATGAAGACAGACACTGTACCAGTAATAATCGGAGCTTTGGGCTTTGTGAAAAAAGAAATGAACAACTTTACTAACAGTGTCCCCAGGTAACATCAGCTTATAAAAAGAAAGAAAACGAACCTACTAGGAATGAGGGAATGAAGACAGACACTGTACCAGTAATAATCGGAGCTTTGGGCTTTGTGAGAAAAGAAATGAACAACTTTACTAACAGTGTCCCAGGTAACATCAACAGAAAATTGCCCAGAAAACGAACCTACTAGAAATGAGGGAATGAAGACAGACACTGTACCAGTAATAATCGGAAAAGAGAAAAAGAGAAAAGAAAAGAACAACTTTACTAACAGTGTCCCAGGTAACATCAACTTATAAGTTGCCCAGAAAACGAACCTACTAGGAATGAGGGGAATGAAGACAGACACTGTACCAGTAATAATCGGAGCTTTGGGCTTTGTGAGAAAAGAAATGAACAACTTTACTAACAGTGTCCCAGGTAACATCAGCTTAAAGTTGCCCAGAAAACGAACCTACTAGGAATGAGGGGAATGAAGACAGACACTGTACCAGTAATAATCGGAGCTTTGGGCTTTGTGAGAAAAGAAATGAACAACTTTACTAACAGTGTCCCCAGGTAAACGATCAGGAATGAGGGAATAAGACACTTGCCCAGAAAATCGGAGCTTTGAACCTACTAGGAATGAGGGAATGAAAGTTGAAAAACGACACTGTACCAGTAAAGAATCGTAAGCTTTGGGCTTTGTGAGAAAAAGAAATGAACAACTTTACTAACAGTGTCCCAGGTAACATCAGCTTATAAGTTGCCCAGAAAACGAACCTACTAGGAATGAGGGGAATGAAGACAGACACTGTACCAGTAATAATCGGAGAAAACTTTGTGAGAAAAGAAATGAACAACTTTACTAACAGTGTCCCAGGTAACATCAACATAAAGTTGCCCAGAAAACGAACCTACTAGGAATGAGGGGAATGAAGACAGACACTGTACCAGTAATAATCAGACTTTGGGCTTTGTGAGAAAAGAGAAATGAACAACTTTACTAACAGTGTCCCAGGTAACATCAACTTAAAGTTGCCCAGGTAGAAAAATAACCTACTAGGAAAAATGAAGAACCTACTAGGAATGAAAAAAAAAAAATGAAGACCCAGAACATCTGTAAGTTGCCAAAACGAACCTAATAATCGGAGACACTTACCAGGACTTTGGGCTTTGAGAGAAAAGAAATGAACAACTTTACTAACAGTGTCCCAGGTAACATCAACATATAAGTTGCCCAGAAAAACGAACCTACTAGGAATGAGGGGAATGAAGACAGACACTGTACCAGTAATAATCAGAGCTTTGGGCTTTGTGAAAAAGAAATGAACAACTTTACTAACAGTGTCCCAGGTAACATCAGAAATAAGTTGCCCAGAAAACGAACCTACTAGGAATGAGGGAATGAAGACAGACACTGTACCAGTAATAATCAAAGAAAACAAAAGTGAGAAAAGAAATGAACAACTTTACTAACAGTGTCCCAGGTAACATCAACATACAAGTTGCCCAGAAAACGAACCTACTAGGAATGAGGGAAATGAAGACAGACACTGTACCAGTAATAATCAGAGCTTTGGGCTTTGAGAAAAAGAAATGAACAACTTTACTAACAGTGTCCCAGGTAACATCAAAAAGAAAAAAACGCCTACTAGGAATGAAAACGAACCTACTAGGAAAAGAGGGAAAGAAGACAGACACTGTAAAAGTAATAATCGGAGACTTTGGGCTTTGAGAAAAGAAATGAACAACTTTAAACAGTGTCCCAAAAACATCAGAAAAGTTGCCCAGAAAACGAACCTACTAGGAAACCTAGGGGAATGAAGAAAAGACACTGTACCAGTAATAATCGGAGCTTTGGGCTTTGTGAGAAAAGAAATGAACAACTTTACTAACAGTGTCCCAGGTAACATCAACATAAAAGTTGCCCAGAAAACGAACCTACTAGGAATGAATAATCAGAAAATGAAGAAAAGACACTGTAAAGTAATAATCGGATTTTGGGCTTTGTGAGAGAAAAGAAATGAACAAATAATCTTTACTAACAGTGTCCCAGGTAACATCAGCTTATAAAGTTGCCCAGAAAACGAACCTACTAGGAATGAGGGGAATGAAGACAGACACTGTACCAGTAATAATCAGAGCTTTGGGCTTTGTGAGAAAAGAAATGAACAACTTTACTAACAGTGTCCCAGGTAACATCAACTTAAAAGTTGCCCAGAAAACGAACCTACTAGGAAATGAGAATGAAGACAGACACTGTACCAGTAATAATCGGAGCTTTGGGGCTTTGAGAAAAGAAATGAACAACTTTATAACAGTGTCCCAGGTAACATCAACAAATAAGTTGCCCAGAAAACGAACCTACTAGGAATGAGGAAAAAGAAAACAAAAGAAAAATAATCGGAGCTTTGGGCACAGGAGAAAAGAAATGAAAACTTTTACTAACAGTGTCCCAAAACATCAAAAAAAGTTGCCCAGAAAAGAACCTACTAGGAATGAGGGGAATGAAGACAGACACTGTAAGTAATAATCGGAGAAAAAAAGAAATGAAAACAAAAACTAACAGTGTCCCAGGTAACATCAGAAAAGAGAAAAAACGAAAACTAAAAAGGGAATGAAACAGACACTGTACCAGTAATAATCGGAGCTTTGGGCTTTGTGAGAAAAGAAATGAAAAGATTTACTAAAAGTGTCCCAGGTAACATCAGCATATAAGTTGCCCAGAAAACGAACCTACTAAAGAATGAGGGGGAATGAAGAAACACTGTACCAAAATAATCGGATCTTTGGGAAAAACATGAGAAAAGAAATGAACAACTTTACTAACAGTGTCCCAGGTAACATCAAGAAAGTTGCCCAAAAAAGAACCTACTAGGAAAGAGGGGAATGAAGACAGACAAACCAGAAATAATCGGAAAGATTGAAACTTTGTGAGAAAAAAGAAAAATGAAAATTTACTAAAAATGAGGAGAAAAGAGAAAAGAAAACTAAAAGAAAAGATTATGAAACATGAGAAAAAAAGAAAATCAAAAGAAAAAGATTATGAAAAACAAAACGAAAAAGAGAAAAGAAAATGAAAAAGAAGATGAAAAACTGTAAAAAAGAAAAGAAAAAAGAAAAGAAAATGAAAAGAAAGAGAAAAGAAAAAAAAACTTTAAACAGTGTCCCAGGTAACATCAAAAGAAAAGTTGCCCAGAAAACGAAAAGACTAGGAATGATGAGAAAAGAGAAAAGAAACTGAAAAGAGTAATAATCGGAGAAAAGAGAAAAGAAAATGAAAAGAAATGAAATTTGTGGAAAAAATTAGAAAAGTGTCCCAAGAAAACAAAAGATTATAAACATGCCCAGAAAAAGAACCTACTAGGAATGAGGGGAATGAAGACACTGTAAAGAAATAATCAAAAAGGCTTTGTGGAGAAAATGAACAACTTTACTAACAGTGTCCCAAAGAAAATCAAAAAATTGCCCAAAAACATGACCTACTAAGGAATGAAAAAATGAAAAGACACTGTACCAGTAAATCGGAAAAAGAAAAAATGAAAACTTTAAACAGTGTCCCACATAACATCAAGAAAAGAGAAAAAGAAAACGAACCTACTAGAATGATGGAAAAGAGACAGACACTGTAAAGTAATAATCGAAACTTTGGGCTTTGTGAAAAAAGAAATGAAAACTTTACTAACAGTGTCCCAGGTAACATCAGAAAAGAGCCCAGAAAACGAAAAAGATTAGGAAACAGGGAAGAAAAGAGAAAAGAAAATGTAAAAGATTATTTGGGCTTTGAGAAAAGAAATGAAGAAAATTAAAACAGTGTCCCATCAACAGAAAAGTTGCCCAGAAAACGAAACATCAGAAAAGAGAAAAAGAAAAGAAAATGAAAATCAGAACCTACTAGGAATGAGGGAATGAAAAGAAATGAAAAAAGTAATAAATAGCTTGGGCTTTGAGAAAAGAAATGAACAAGATTACTAACAGTGTCCCAGGTAACATCAAAGAAAAGTTGCCCAGAAAACGAAACACTAGGAAAAGGGAAAGAAGACAGACAAGACCAGTAAAATCGGATATTTGAAAAGAGAAAAGAAATGAACAACTTTAAACAGTGTAAAAGAGAAACATCAGCTTTATAAGAGAAAAGAAAACGAAAAGACTAGGAAAACAGGGAAAGAAAAGAAAACTAAAAAAATTATGAAATACAAGTGAGAAAAGAGAAAGAAAAATAAAAGTGTCCCAGGAAACACAGAAAAAGAGAAAAGAAAAACGAAAAAGATTAGGAAACACATGAGAAAAGAGAAAAATTGAAAAAGATTATGAAACACTGAGAAAAGAGAAAAAAAAAATGAAAAATTTTGAAACAGTGTCCCAAAAACATCAAAAAAAATTGAAAAAGATTATGAAACTACTAGGAAAAAAGAGAAAAGAAAATGAAAAGATTAGAAACATATGAGAAAAGAGAAAAGAAAATGAAAAAGAATGAAACACATGAGAAAAGAGAAAAGAAAATCAAAAGATTATGAAACAAACCGAGGAAAAGAGAAATGAAAAAGACACTGTACCACATAAGAAAGAGAAAAAGAAAAATGAAAAACTTTACTAAAAAGAAACCAGGTAACATCAACATAAAGTTGCCCAGAAAAAAGAACCTACTAGAAACAAGGGGAAAAGACTAAAGAAAAGTAATAATCAGAAGAAAAGAAATGAACAAAAGAGAAAAGAAACATCAGAAGCCTGCCCAAAAACGAACCTACTAGGAAAAGAGACTTTTGGAAAAAAGAAATGAACAACTTTACAAACAGTGTCCCAGGTAACATCAACAAATAAGTTGTCCAGAAAAACGAACCTACTAGGAAACATCCCAATACTAAGAAAAGACATATAAATAAGTAATAATTATAGAGCTTTAAACCATAGGACCAAAGAAATGAAAAAACTTTACAACATACAAAGCAGGAAACATCAACATACAAATAATAAAATAATAATAATAGGAATAATAATAATAAAACAGAAGGATATGAAGATAATTGAACAAAAATAGTAAGCATTAAAAAGAAAAAGAATGAACTTTAGAACATTGATTTTCGCCAAATTTAATAAAATAAGAAAACATAATTTAATAATAAAATAAGATGGAGAAACATTAATACAGACTTATTAAAATGCAACAAGGTAAACATTATGGAAATATCTTCATTAAATATAAATTTAAAATTTTTGCATGCTACCAGGTTTTCAGTTCTTCAGAAAGAAAGAATACATTATATACCCATTATTATTTACATTATTCGGACTATTAAATAAATTGTCAAATTCAGTTCTTTGGGCGTTGTAAATAAAAGGCATTCTTCAGGGTGATTAGAATCGAACCGAACCCTTTATTTCGTCCATTAAAAAGAAACTGTTCTAGTTCTTTTGGTTTGCCTCTTCCAGATGTCTTTAAACCTTTAAACAACACTGCAAAAAGTTTTTGGTTCACCACTGTTTAACTGGGTACTAAACTCACGCTTTAGTAACTGGGACAAACGAATCCACTGGGACATTTGCCTTTGAGGACATTTGTGTATAAATTTATGGGACTTACAAACCTAATGTTTCAACAACCATTTTCATTAGGTGATAATAAAAATCAGAAGTTAGAATGGAGCAATACCATATGTGAGTGTCTGCTAATATAAGCAAAGGTTTCTCTGATTGACTGTCAATTTCCATAAAGTCTGTGCGAATGGTACCAGAGATATTAAAAGTGGTTAGATACTTTCCAAACATATCTCTGGGGATTCTAATATGAGGTAATGTCACGTTATGAGTTCCGTTACCCATTATTGTCGTAGTGGTACCTCATGTACCACAACCGTAGCAGCAGTAGTGCATCTATGGCAAGATAAACTGACAAATTCCGTTCACTTTTAGGCTGATTCAAATTGTTCTTTCACCTAGACTGGTTACCCGTCAAGTCTAGAGGACCTAACCTGTCCTGCTATTATCTCCTAAATGGGGTAAAAAGAAATGGATTCGTGCCTACATAGGTTACTTGTGCAAAAGTAAACGTAGTAAAGAAAAAAAGGAATTTGAACACGGAGATGTGAAAAAAAAGTGTGATGATCGACAGAAACTAATAAAACACAGCCTTATCAATATGATAAGAAACTTGATTAAGGAATACGAGGTAAATTTCAAGGTATTCCACTCACCTGCTCTTTAATATATTAAAAATCTATTAAGAAAGGTTTGTTGTAGATATAACTAAATTCCTTGCAATTACACCCAACAAGTTTAATTCTCTTATAGGCAAGCCCTAGATAGATGTACCTACGAAAAGATTCCAGCACCTTGAAAAACTCCCTGCAATGTTGCATAGCCGTCGTTATTCAAGCAAAAACAGCTGTTTTTAATTTTTTGTTACTTCCTTTTTTAGTACTCCATCGCCTATCCTGTATTTACTAATGTCAGTGCGACAAAAAGCCCCAAGCGTCGAGCAATATGTAAGGATGAAATTCACTACTACATGAATGATCTTTGAGACTAGTTTGTTAACAACTGCAATTATTATTATATATATATATTTATTATAATTGTATTATTTTATTCAATATTTTATACATATTATTTACATTTATATATACATTTATATCTTTTGCTATTTTACTCAAAGAAAAATTAAGTCAAAATTCTTACTTTATGATAGCACCAAATCATTTGCAACGTAACAGACAGCTTTGTATAAAACAACACTTAGATTTACAAAAATTACTATCTTCTATGAAATAATAAAGATATTTCTGCTCTTTCATAGAAAGACAAACTCGCGCGGAAGAAAGCACTTTTATACGTAAAATCAACTGAGCGAAACACGAGAGTCAATTCAGTTGTCATCGTAAAGCTTTTCACAATTTGAGCCTTTAGTGGAAACCAGAGACTAAATATTATATATCAATATGTAGATTTGTCCTTGTATATTTAGATTCAATAAATTTTCTGACTATGCATACTTGGACAAAGATATTTGTATATAAAAAGTTAAAGATAATCAGAGCATTTTGGTCTGAAAACGTTGTATAAGATTGTTGTTTAAGACAGAAAAAATTCTTAGATTAGGTGGAGAGTATAGTCCACCTTGCTATTTGATCCAAACACAATAAACTATGACGGAACTTGAATTCTGATCAACGTTGCAATTTTACACAAAAGGATAGGGCGCTGATATAAGTTTCTGGGTGATTATTTTGAAGAGGGTGAAGGTATAGATTACTTTTTCCTAAATCTTAAATGGATGGGTCACTTTTGTAATGTCCTTGTATCAGGATTAGTTATGCTTGATACTGTTCTGAGATTAAAATACCAATGAGATAGTAACCATCAAACAGTTCCATGTATAATAACCCTGTTATGCCAAACTGTTAAAAGTAATTAAATTTAGCTACTTTTAATGTTTATTCCCAAGATTTCAAGAATTACCTTGGTCTTTATGAAAATCTTTGATTGATGTATTTTCGTAATGAATTTGACAATTCAAATGAAATGAACCAGAAATCTTCGATCATCCCTACAAAATTTCCCATTAGAATCAAAGAAAATCTCTCCTCACAAAAATCAATCTGTTTCGTCATTTGATATAAATTTTTCAGCATGTCCTCATAGATAAACATACAGGTAAACATTACACAGTTATATGTTCATTTTTTTTCTATATTACGATACTTATAAAATCCCACTATTTCCCGTAGCACAATTTTCATATAGTAATCAGTTCAGAGATTTAGTCATCAAAATCATTATCATAATCCTCATTGGCAGTTATGATAATGACATCATACAATGGTTACGATGAAGAAATAAATAATAATTTATTGCTACGTTTCATGGAATACATTTGCTTATTCCTCATGATAAGGGAAGGAAATAAAAGGATGTGATTAATACACTGAAATGGCTGCAATGTACTTCCCATTAAGATGCATAAAATGGCAAATATCTCTGCATTATTTACGAGAATACAGAGCTGGTAAACAAAAGATTTTTGATTAACATGGCACAACACATACTGCCTAAGTTTATTGAATACAAAATAAGATAACAATTATTATAATAATATTGATCATGTTTATTCCTAGCTCAAATCCCAATTTAACAACAATAGTAATAATTATAAACTGTTAAATGCGGTATTCGGGAAGAACCCATGTTTACTAAACAGCTAATCGAGAAATTAAATTGTTAATAATAATAATAATAATAATAATAATAATAATAATAATAATGACTGATCTTAGTTTTTTAC